GGCGTGGTGGTGGGTGCCTGTAGTCCCAGCCACTCGGGAGGCTGAGGCAGGAGAATGGTGGGTAAACCCAGGAGGTGGAGCTTGCACTGAGCCGAGATCGCGCCATTGCACTCCAGCCTGGGTGACAGAGCGAGACTCCATCTAATATATATATATTATATATATAAAAATATATATATGTATATGTATTTAATATATGTGTATATAATATATTTTATATATATATGTGAAGCCCTTCTTACGTGTAGTGATTTGAGAAACTGGTAGGCTTGACATAGTTGGGGAAAAACTTATGTCTATTTTTCTGTTTATACTTTCTGTTTTTCTTGCCTAGTTCCTACCTCATTAAGCTCTAGAAATAGTTCAAATGTAGATCTCAGCTAAGGCCTCTTTGAAAAAATTTTACACCCCATTCTTTCTCTTTTTAAGTGTTGTAAGAAAATGTACTTTCAACTGGCGTAAAGAAAGCTATGACATCTTAAGAATTTTTCTATAAGAGTCTATGAAAACACTTATTCAAGAATGATTTCGGTTCTGTCCTTCCTGCGAGAGATGTAGAACAAAAGGAATATCAGGTCATTTTCACACCTTGAATTCAATTTGGGTCTATTTTATAATCTATTTTTATGGCTGTCATCCAATTTTGTTCCTCTAGTTTAGGTTGTATCTAATACTATCTTGGCTTTGAGTTAGGCAGGATAGAAAGAGATTTGCTATTAACCTGGACTAACACAGACTCCTGTGACACTTAAGAGGTTGTATGAAAGGGGTGGAAATGGATGTCTTGCTTTAATGTTGAATATGTGGGGACATACACACACATGTACACACACACACATTCTCTCTCTCAGAGTAAATTTAAACTCAGTTGGAGCCCTGGGGGCATGTAAACAAGCATAAGGAAATTTCCCATAGGTTTATAGGGTGGGGAGAGCTATCCCTCTCTCATGTGTTAGCAGAAGTGGCAGATGGCATCTTTCTCCCCTAATAATCACCAGATGGCATAAAGCTATGCCCTGTGGTGCAGGAAGCAGGAAACTGGGTTGATCATGTATTTTCTACACTTAAGCTCTTCTTATTTGATTGACATTTGTCTGTGCTACTGGTCATCTATTTATGTGAGAAGAACTTAAAGAAAGGGACCAAAACCTCATTGTGGTTGCAGAGAGTATTCATTTTAATTTAAGAAATTTAGCATGTTTTATGAGCTAATAACTTGCAAATCTGCTAAGCAGATTCACAGGTTTCTGTTCACTTGTATCCTGAGCCATGATATCTGTTTGCATCCTGTTGTAAACCTCCTTTATTTAGCATTTTTCAGATATAATGCTTAGAGAATTGAAGTTTAGGCTGGGCGCAGTGGCTCATGCCTGTAATCCCAGCACTTTGGGAAGCCGAGGTGGGCGTATCACAAGGTCAGGAGTTCAAGACCAGCCTGGCCAACATGGTGAAACCCCATCTCTACTAAAAAAAAATACAAAAAAAATTAGCTGGGCGTGGTAGTATGTGCCTGTAATCCCAGCTACTCAGGAGGCTGAGGCAGGAGAATCACTTGAACCTGGGAGGCAGAAGTTGCAGTGAGCCGAGTTGTGCCACTGCACTCCAGCCTGGGGAACAGGGGACAGAGCGAGACTCCATTAAAAAAAAAAAAAAAAAAAAAAGAATTGAAGTTTAATCTTTTGAGCAGAAGTTTTACTGTAAAAATTAAAAATAAACCTTTAAAAATCTTTAGATATTGATGTTCAATTTTATTAAATATTATTATAAACATGATTTAACTTTTCCTGTTAGAGACATAAGTTGTAGTACAGGTGCAGTTGACATTGTGAAAACAAATGAGGCTAAAAGCAGAATGGATCCTACTTAAACCTAAAGCAATCTTAGAATAAAAGTTGATGGTAGTTTTTTAAAAAGTTGTAAGTAGATCTCCTTTTTAATCAACAGATTGTAATGATTGAATGGAAATGAGGCAGTAAGTATTATAAGTGAAACCATTTTATCACAACATTAATCTGAAATGTTTAAGTGAGTTCCACAATCACTGGGGTCCTGAAAGGTAATTAGACATGAAGATGTATGTTTTCTTGTCTGTATTTGACTGGTGGAGTCACTCCTTTTGGATTAAATATATAGTATCTTTAATGTATAGAAATGAAATATACAATCTTGAGAGACTACTGTGCCCTGACAAGGCTTTTCAAACTGCCTTTGTTTAATGACTGTCCTTTTGTTTTGTGTTTTCATATCCTGCTTAGTACTTTTGCCTCCCGGGCTGGCCACAGCCTTTTCTCTTCAGAAGGAACTCATTTGTTTTACAGCTGGATTGTTACAATTTCTTAGTGGTTATGAATTTTAATGCATATTAAGGGTGCTTTTTATATTTTAATGTCATTTGGTTACATACGTAAAAAAAATCCATTTAAGTTCAATAAATGATTTTGGGAAAAGTGCACATCCACAGGCAAAAGAATGAAGTTGGATCCTTACCTTATATCATATACAAAAATGAACTCAAAATGGATTGAAGACCTAAACATAAGAGTTAAAACTATAAAACTCTTACAAGAAATTATAGGGGAGAAGTTTAATGACGCTAGATTTGGTAATGACATCTTGAATATGACACCAAAAGCATATACATTGGACTACATTAAAATAAAAAACTTGTGTGTATCAAGGGACACAATCAATACAGTAAAAACCACCCTATGAAATGAGAGAAAAGATTTGCAAATCACATATCTAATGAAGGGTTAATATCCAAAATATATAAAGAACTACAACTCAACAACAATAAAAACCAAACAACCGAATTAAAAAATGGGCAAAGGTCTTGAGTAGATATTTCTCCAAAGATGATACACAAATGGTCAACAAGTACATAAAAATGCCCTAATCACTAGGGAAAATCTAAATCGAAACCAGAACGAGGTATCTTTTCATACCTTGTAGGATAGCAGCTGCTGCTACTACTACGATGACGACGATGACGAAAAACCAAACCAACAAAACAAACAGAAAATAAGAAGTGTTGGAAAAGATGTGGAGAAACTGGAATACTTGTCTACTGTTATTGGGCATATAAAATAGTGCAGTCACCATAAAAAAAGAGTATGGGGGGGTCCTAAAAAACTTAAAATAGAATTATTATACTATCCAGCAATTCCACTTCAGGGAATATACCCAAAAGAATTGAAAACAGGAACTCAGAGATATTTATACACCCACATTCATAGCAGCAGCATTAATAAAAATTAAAAAGTAGAAGCAACCCAAATGACTGTTGATGGATGAACAGATATACAAAATATGGCATATACATGCAATAGAATATTATTCAACCTTACAAAGAAAAAAAATTCTGAGACCCGGTACAATATGGCTGAACCTTGACGATATAAAGTGAAATATCACAGAAAGACAAATACTATATGATTCTACTTATATGAGATGTCTTGAGTAGTCAAATTTATAGGGAGAGAAAGTAGAATGGGAGCTGCCAGAGGTTGGGAGGAGGGAAAAGTGAAGAATGGTTCTTTAATGGATGTAGAGTTTCAGTCTTAAAGATAAATAGAGTTGTGGAGATTGGTTGCACAACAATGTCAACATACTTAATATTATTAAACTGCACGTTTAAAAATGATTAAATCGTACATTTTGTGTTACATATATTTGACCACAATTAAAAAAAGAAACAACGGGAAAAGGTTTTGTCAACGAACTGCTTGGTAGTCTACCAATTGGGGATTGGATTAACATTTACTCCTGTGAAGATTCAGGCAAGGGCAGGGATGAGTTAGGGAGACATAAGGTTAATGATGTCAGACTATAGTAAATGGTATAGCAGTGGTATAAACAAAGTTCAATGGGAACAAAAAAGGAAAACTTAAGTCTTCCTGGAGGCATATGAGAGATCATCCGAGACAAGGTGGTTTTATTTGAGCTGCTTTGAAAGATGAGTGGGAATATGACAGGTGGAAAAAGAACAAAAGGAAATAACAGGTAGAGGAAACAGAATGAGCACATACCATAAAGTTGTGAAAGACCATAATTTGGAAATAGTGGTGGCCAGAGCACAACTCTTTATGAAGACTGCTCATATTCCCATTGGTCCAGAGCTGAAGTCTACTAAATGTGCAAGTTAATTTTCTCTTCATAATTCATTTAAATTCTGTATTAGTTTCCTATTGCTGCTGTAACAAACCACCACAAATCTAGTGGCTTTGAACAACACAGATTTATCTTACAGTTCTGGAGGTCAGAAGTTCTGAAATCAAGGTGTCAGCAGGGCTGTGTTTCTTTTAGGGGCTCTAGGGGAGAATCAATTTCTTTCCCTTTTCTAGGTTCTATAGGTGGCCTGTATTCTTTGGCTTGTTGACCCCTTCTTTGCCTGGGTCTGATCTCTGCTTCTATCATCATATCTCCTTCTCTCTCAGACCTGCTTGCCTCCCTCCTATAAGGATTTTTGAGATTACATCGGGCACATGTGGATAATATCTCAACGTCCTTCATTTAACCACATCGTCAAAGTCCCTTTTGCCATGTGAGGTAATATACTCATAGGATTTGGGGATTGAGATGTAAATACCTTTGGGAGCCTATTTTTCTGTCTTCTATAGATTCGATAGGAGTGAAATATCTTAGGTCTCAAAATATATAGGCTGAGTGAATTTGTATATCAAAAGAGGATGCAACGCAAATGATATTTTTCTTGCTATTCGTATTAGTTGATTTTCTGCAACTTAAATCATCACTCTTTCATCAGTATCCTGACTGACTCTCATAATAATCTCCAATCATTCATGGTTTCTCTGTTCGTGAGACCCTTATAACACCAATCCTTTCCCAGTCATAAAGCATTTAAGAAGTTCCTGTTGCCTTCTTTCCTTTCACCACCAAACTTTGGAAAGAGGATTCAATACTCACTCTCTTTGTTTCCTCAGCTCTCATTCACAGTTCCACACAGGAAAAGCTAAATCTCTGGGATTTAGTTTTTTTACCTGGTCCAGGTTCCTTATTTTTGATATATTTCTCTCCAGCTTTAAACTACCATGATTCTATGATCTACTTCTTCTCAGTCATGCAGCATCAGATGTGGGCCTAGTTCCCCTCAAGTCTCTTAGCCCCTAGTCAATTATTTTTCTCCTAGGATCTCAAGCTAACCTGTTAGTCTAATCATTGTGTTGTCACAAGCTTCAGTTTGGAATTCAGCAAAAATATTTTTTTGCCTTGTAGAATTCCATTAAGAAACAATTCAAGCTGGGAATGAAGGCTGTTCCTGTGTTCCTGGGAGGCTTCTCTCCCAATGCTAGGTCACACATTGTTGCCTTTCTGGCTAAAGGTTTCCCTGTCCTAATACTGCAAAATTATCACTATCTCATGATGGAAGGAGATAGTAATCCTAGCATAGATATATTCAAGGTAGCCTGGCTTCTGAGGGTTCCAAGTTACTAACAGCTTTAACTTTTAGTTATGCATTTCTGTATTTATATTTCATATAATCATTTACCTCTTTTGGGCTGAAGAAAAAGAGGACATTATCCAACCAGCAAAAAGAGAGCAGTTTTCCTCTGAGAAGCATTCAGCATCCGATTAAATATTTTAAATTGCTTTATAAAATATTTCAGCCTGGATTTTCTGTAATTTAGTTTATAATAATCACTGAGGGAGATCTGACAATGGTTAAGTCTCCAAAAGCTTTTCCTGATTATTTCAGAACGACCTGATTTTCTTCCTGCTTCTGGGAGAAAGTGTCTATTCAGGGAAATGCTCCTAAAATGAGGCGTAAGCAGGGAAGGGTTGCCTCAGGTTTTGTGTTAATTGATAATAAGTGAACAGCTCATACAACTTTATTCATTTCTTTGTTCATTCAACATATTTACTGAAGCATTACCATGTGCCACAGTCTGTACTGGGCCCTCAGTATGGATATGAATTAGACGCAGCCTAGTTTTCAGGGAGCTTTGGTGTAGAAGGATAGACGGATTTGTAAATATCATGTAAACTAAGTGCATAAGTACAACAAAATGTCACGATTCTGTCATAATCGATTTGTGCTGCTATGACATAATACTTGAGACTGGGTAGTTAAGAAAGAAATAACCTTTTTTTTTTTTTTTTTTTTTTAACTATTCTAGACGGGTTTTGGAAGTCCAAGATCAAGGAGCTAACATCTGATGATGGTCTTCTTGTTGTATCCTCACAGGGTGAAAGTCAGAAGGGCAAATGATCTGAACTCTGTGTGAAGCCTCTTTTGTAAGGGTCTAGATCTCACTCATTAGAAGAGGAGCCCTCGTGACCTAATTACTTCTTAAAGGCCCCACCTCCTAATACTATCATATTGGGTAACACCTGAATTTTGGAGGCAGCACTTTCAAAACATAGAAGCTGCTACTGAAGCATCTGCATGGTACACAATGTGAGCGAAGTGGGAGCAAGCCTATGATTTTATCATTAGGAAATGGGGGTGCATACTTGATGTTCTTGTAAGTTCTAATCAAGAGTAGCAGACATATGAATGAAAAAGCATTCTGAAGGAGGCTTAGTATCATCCATACCTTAGTCCAATAACCCCCAAATATTTATAGAGTATCTATCATAAGCTAAGAAGTCTTTGATGGTCAAAAATTAATGACAGAATGATAAAATAAAAAGGAGAGCAATTACAAGAGACTTGAAGAAACAGGATATTTTTTCTTCCCAAAGTGCTAGAGAATAGGGAAATAAAGAGGTAATAAAAATTCTAGGGAGTCTACTTTAATATTAAATATTTACTTGGCGTAAGCTGAACGCTTTGTCACACTCTGGTCAGGCATATCAAATTTGACACAGTAATCCCATAACTGTAAAAATATGAGATATCTTTTGTAGTCTTTCTTACAGCGGTAAAAACAGAATATGTGACTTTTTAAAAAAAAGCTAGGCTTTATAAAGTCCATGAGGAACAGCTGAATTCTCAAATGATTCATATATTTCTTTGAGAAAGAAAAGATGTTATTTTCTATAATAGTCATTTCAAACTGAAGGAGCCCTAGATGATTATTAATGTGGGAAAAATAATAACTGTAGAAACACAGGCAAAAGGATAGAAATAGGTCACAGAGAAATAAATATAAATGGATTATACAAATATAAAAAATATTCAGATCACTGACAGCTAAAAACATGCAGATCCAAGCAAGGAGATGCTTACCAGGTTACCAACATTTAGGTATTTGATAATATCCAGGGTGAAGGTGCAGAAACTGCCAATGTCAAATATTATGAATGTGAGAAAAATGGGTATAATTATTTTACAGGGCAATTGGATGCTATCTAACAAAACTGAAAATGTACACACATCTTTTAACCTAGTAATTCCACACCTAGAAATTTATTCTAAGAGAAGTGTTTAAATAAGTGATATTCAAAGATGTTTCTCCAGCTTTGTTTCTAAAAGCAATAGCAAAATATGTCTATCAATTGGAGATCATTTAAGTAGATTATGGTTGATTCATAATTTGAATCAATATGGTTGATTTGAATATGTTTGAGTCTATGGGATATTAGCTACTGAGAAAGATGTAAATATATTTGTGCTAACATAGAAAGATCTGTACCATTAACAAGCAAGATGGAGAGATGTGTATAATACGCTTGTAAACAGAGTATTTTAACAGATACACAAGAAACCGCTAACATTGGTTCTCTGGGTTATGGAATTGGGAGGATATGAATTAAGATGAAGATTTAATTTTATTGTATGCATTGGATTGTTTTACTGGTTTTCTTATGTGTATGTGTTAATTTTTCTAATTAAAAACCAAAAGAATTTAGACAGTAGACAGAGGAGCTCAGTGACCTGGTATTCACTGTAAAATGCTATGTCTTTTTGGTTTCAAAATAGAAAAATCTATCAACTTAGGCATTTTTATCTCTAATAACATTTCTAGTTATTTTTCTGGAGCTCCAGTGAACTAGGGAGAGTTCATCAAGATCTACCACATGCTCAAAGCCGTCCCTAAAGGAAGAATATTTTACTGAATGACTATGATGAAATGCTAGGATGGGTCTCTAAGATGGAGGAGATAGGATTGTGGTATTGCTTGTTTTATTTTATTGACTTAAAAACATGTCATTTAAAGGGGAGCAACTAAACTTCACCTAGTTAGTACTCTTGCCAAAAATCTAAGCATGCGGAAACAAGCAAATAGAAATTTAGGGACATTCTACAAAACAACCAGCTTGTCTTCTTAAAAAAAAACCAATGTCATAAAACTAAAAAAAAGGAAGGATTTATAATAAAGGCAAGTAAAGAAACATTAAATGTAGTGTGTGATGCTTAATTGAATCCTGGGTTGATATGTACAATTGAAGAAATTTATATGGATTGCATATTAAATAATCATATTGTGTTTATATAAAAAGTCTCAAGTGTAATCGTATTCTAGTTATGTGGGAGAATGTCTTATTTATAGAATATAGATGCTGAAATATTTTTGGATGAAGCATGATGTCTGCAACTTTCAAATGGATCAGCAGAAAATGTATATGCATATATATGTGTGTATATATATACACACAGATATATATTGAGAAAGATAAAGGAAATGTGGCAAAATGTTAAGAATGGGTGAATCTAGATTAAAGAAATGTGGATGTTCATTATATTTTTGGCGCTTTTCTGTAGGTGTAACATTTTTCAAAATAAAAAGCTGAGAAAAAAGAGAAGCAACCAGCAGAATGTAAAAGCTTATGATTTAAATAGCACAGAACTGAGAAACATAATTTTTCATTCCTTCCCTCAACACTGAATGAGACGAGGAGCCACTAGGAGGTTTTCAGTGAGGAGTCACTTGACTGTAGACTTTAAAGGTATCATTCTGGTTTCTGCCCTCAGAGCTAACCTTAGGTGGTCAGTGGTGGAAGCAGCAAACCCAGTTAGGAGGTGACTGCATCCAAGCAAGAGATCGCAGTGGCTCACACCACAGAAGTAGAAGGGAGGTGGTGAGAAGTCACCTCATTCTGAAACTGTCTTGAAGATAGAGCCAATAGAATTTGCTGACAGATTAGGTGTGGGATATGAGAGAAAGTTAAGAATAAAGGATAAATTCAAAGTTTTTGCCCTGAGCAACCAGAGGATAAAATGGCTTCAATTGAGTTTGGAAAGGCTTCAAGTAGCCTAGGTTTTGTAGGTCAGGGGAGGCTCAGAATTCATTTTTGGCTATGTTGCATTTGAATGACTAGCCATCTGAGTAGGTATCTTAGGTGGACTATCGGAGGTATAAGTCTGGGAATTCACTGGAGATATAAATTGGAGGTTGTTACCAAGGGAGTGCATCTAGATAGAGAATTGAGGCCCTGGGGCATTTTAGCACTAAGAGGTCAAGGAGTTGAAAAGGAACTAGTAAAGGAGACCAAAAATGAGCAGCCAGTGATTTGGTGGTAAACCAGGAGTGTCTTTTCCTGGAAGCTAAGGGAAGAGAGTATTTCGAAGAAGAGGAAGTGTTTATGCTACATGATGCTGTGGGGCCAATTAAGGTGAATATTAAGAATTGGCCATTGGATTGAACAATGAGGAGGTCAATAATGACCTTGCCATGAGCAAGCATTTTTGCTGCAAGTAACAGAAAACCTTAAGAAAACTGTAATAACATTGCCTTAAACAGAGGAGGTCATTTTTCCCATGTAAGAATAAATCTAGAGAGCTTGTCACTGGAGTTGGTTTGAGCAAATCAACCATGTTAGAGATATCCTCTTTGCAATTTTCTTGGCCTTTTCTTATAATGTAAAAATAGCTACTTATGTGCCACTCAATATACTCACATTTAAGGAAAGAAGAGAGAAAGAACAACATCATCAGGATTTAAAAAGCTCCCCAGAAAGCCATCCCTTGCTCTCCCCCACCCCCTTAGAGAGGTCGGTTCTTGTCTCCTTCATCAAAACAGTGTCGTACAGCCACTGTCACAAGCTTCAAGAGATATCAGCAAAGTAAGTTCATTTTGTATGGGTGTATCCTGAAGTCCAAGAGTTTTAATGACTTGACCAATACCACACTGGTAATATAGCAGGGTCAAAGTAAACTGTCTGCAAAATTTGTTTTTTTTTTTCCTGATCCATCATGGTATTGCAATAGTCTAGGCAAATGGCAATTATGGATTAAATGAGAGTAATTACAGTAGTACAG